ATCTCCATCTCATGCTCAGCCCATTCATGAATAACAAAGCAATCATATAGCATTTGTTACAAACTGAACATGGGCTTTGTTTGAATTCCACACACCATAGAGAGCTCCATGCTGCATATTTTAAGCATCCCATTATATTCATGATGGTTAAATTGGCAAAATATTGTGCTTTTCTTGCAAATATCAAAATTGGCTTATTTCAACCAGTTGTGCCTTTTCATTCATGCATTCAATATATACTAAGTACAATGTGTGGGCTAGGATTTACCCAGATGAGAAACAAAATAAGCAACTCCCTCTCTTAGTCATTTTCCTTTTGCTTGCCCAAATTATTTGACACGTACAACTTAAAGAGAAGTTTATTTGGGCTCATGATTTTTAGAGGTTTTAGTCCATAGTCAGCTGCCTTCATGTTAGGAATGGCATGGTTAAAGGTTTGCCACGAAGGAAAGCTGTTCACATCATGGCAGTCAGGAAGCAGAAAGAGAAGGAAAGAGCTATAAAGGGAGTTAAACCCTTTCAGGTCACACCCCCAGTGATCCATGGCTTCTGACCAGGACCCACCTCCTGATATCATGTTCAGCTATAGTGCCCCCATAATCCAATCACCATCCAAAATCCCTGCTTCTACACACATGAGAGTTTAGGGGGTCATTCTGGATCTAAGCCAAAACACAAGTTCACTTTGGTTACAACCCAAGTACTGTATAAGCATGTGAGTAGTACTGTATAAGAATGATTTCCTTCCTAGGATTATGATTATTCAAGCAATTCAATGTATATTGTATGTGAGTATGGGGATGGGTGTAGTTTTTCCTAACTTCAAACTTTTTAGAACAACTATAATCCAGTTTTTTAAAGTAAAACCAGTTCTCTCTCTAGGCATTAAACTGGCTTCAGGAATGTTTGCTCTGTGGAATAAAGAAGTGCAGGGATTTGGTGCAAAAGTCATGTGGCTCAACCAAAACGTAAGAGGATATGATGTTTGTCTTTAAGGCCCTCGTAACTCCAAAAGCTCTCTGTAGAGCTCACATTATGTAATTTCAATTCTGGGTACACTCTCCTGACCTTCAACCACAGGAAACTGTCTTATAGCTATTGTATCTGATAACACACAATCTTTCCCTAGTTTGAAAAACAAGGATTGAAACACAATTCCCCCTGATAATTAGATAATGACCCTTATCATCACATAGGATTCTTTCTACATGAATTTCTTATTTAACAAAACTTTGATTTTCTTTCTTGTCATCCTCTAGGACAGTGGTGGTGAACCTATAGTAAAGGTCCAGTGGGCATGCGGAGCCCTCTCTGTCATCCCATGAGCCCGGTCACCCTAGAATCACCCCATCAGCCCAATAATGGATAACAGCATACATAGGGGCAGTACACATGCTTGGTATGCAAATATATATATATATTTACTTGGACTGGCTGTGAGTTTTAACACAAGTTTTAACTTTGGGATTTCTTATGAAAAAATGAAATTTAATATCTAAGGTTAGCAAAGAGATTTTCCATTTAAGAGACAGATTCCTTCAATGTTGTGCTGCCCTCCTCGCAAATTTGCATCCACAGCATCATATTTAGTTGTGAAGAATTTATGCAAACAGAGCAAGTCTACAAAAAATAAATTTTTACCTTTCAATAAAAAGCTGTTTCTATCATCGAAAGCTCTGCTATTGTGCTTTGCCTTTAAGGCAAAAGATGTTAATGTATGAATTGTTTTTTGTAGACTATCTATCTAGCTAGCTAGCTAGCTAGCTATGTAAACTGCTGTGATTTTTAGCGGAAGCCTCCAGAAGGTAGGAAATGCACTCAGATGCCTTTTTTGGGAGCAGGCCAAAGCCTGGTGGCCAGTGGAACACTGCTCCCTTGCTCGGTGGTCAGAAAATTCAGGAGGAACCCCAGGTGAGAATCACTGCCATAGACTGTTGGTTCAGGGAATATCCAACTCTTTAGTATTAACTAATAAAGTTAGCTATTTTTGATAGAGGTATAGATTTGTATTGGGTGCTTCACTTTTCTTTTAAATTTTGTGTTTTTGTAGACTCCAAGTCTTGCATACCAAAAAAAATTACTATAGCAAAAAGAGCAAAATTGAGAAAAGATAGTGAAGATCATTCCAAAAGGCCTGGACAGAGTCATTTGGAGTGACTGAACACAATGGGCAAGCATTATGTATTCTGTGTAGTGAAAGTGGTGTGTGTCTCACATCAAGTGTCAGACAACACTTTGACCAAAAATGTTTTGCCAAACTTGATGAAACTGAATGGAAAGAGTTTCTTGAAGGGATACTGAGGAAATACTATTCCCAGTACCTTAGTTTATGTAACTGTCTCTCTAAAACAAATCTGACAGCTGCCAGCTTTTAAAATCACTGTGCACAGCAAAACATTGTAAGCCTCTCTCTGATGGAGATTTTATCGAAATGGCTGTATTGTCTAGAGGTAATTAGACTTTTCATGATTTCCCAAACAAGCATAAGGTTATGCAATGCATCTCTGAGATGGCACTTGGCAGAAATACTGTTAAAGATCAAGTTCAGTCATAGCAAGTGATGTTAGTCAACAGCTCACCAGTGACTTACAAAAGAAAGCCTGTTACTCCTGCTTAGATGAAAGTACAGATGTAAATATGCAAGGCAAGCAGTAATTTTGTGTTATGCTATTGGTGACATCATGAGAAAAAAGCTGGTGAACTTGGTGTCTTTGCCTGGGACACAAGGGCTAGATATCTACAACGCTGTGATGATTGACACAAGACATAAGACCAGAAAAAATGGTTTCAGTTACCAGTGATGGGGCACCTTGGATGGTGAGGGCAACGTCTGGTTTCATACAATTCTTGGTTAAAGAAGCAAAGTATCCAGTCACTAAGTCTCACTGAAATTGTACATAAAGAAGCTGTTTGTGCCAGAGAAAGGAGCAAAAAATTAGATGATATCCCAAAAGTTACTGCAAAAATTGTGAATTACATCATGGCTCATACTCTTAAGGAGGGAATTTTCTGCCAAAAATTTTAAATCAATGATTGCTTTTCTTACTTTGTTTGGATCATCTTATGCTTGTGAGAAGCTGTTTTCAGCTTTGAATTATATCAAATATATTATAAGAAACAGACTAACAGATGACCTGAATGTTGCATGTGTTACTCTCAAACTAACAAAGCCTGAGCCAAGGTTTGACAAATTATCAGTATGTATACAATAGCAAAGATCACATTAAAAAGCAAAAGCTCACCCAATGCAAATTTTTACCTTTCAATAAAAAGCTGTTTGTTTCATCCAAAGCTCTACTATTGTGTTTTGCCTTTAAGGCAAAAGATGTTAATGTATGAATTGTTTTTGTACATTAAACCTTCAGTATTCAAGTTTAATGGCACTTTGGATAAATAAGTGAGTTTTGAGATGCAGTTTGGGTACTTAGTCTCTAAAAGTTTCATGACCACTGCTTTAGGAGATTGGACTGTGGGGATTATGACATCAAAAAGAGATCTCAATCTCATCTTATTAAAAAGCTTCAGTACTTCAAAAGGAGCCATCGGTAGAAATAAGAGACAATCTACAATGTGGGAAAAAATCTTTACCAGCTGCTCCTCAGACAAAGGACTATTATCAAGAATATATAAAGAACTCAAAACAATCAGCCCCCCAAATATAAACCCAATTCAATTCCTCAGACAAAGGACTATTATCAAGAATATATAAAGAACTCAAAACAATCAGCCCCCCAAATATAAAGACCCAATTCAAAAATGGGCATCCAAAATTAACAGACATTTCGCAGACAAAGAAGTAAAAGCAGCAAGTAAATATATGAAAAAATGTTCCACATCAGTGATCATTTGAGAGATGCACATGAAAACAACACTGAGATTCCACCTCACCCCGCAAAGAATGGCTGCTATCAAGAAATCACACAATAACAAATGTTGGCGGGGTTGTGGGGAGAAAGGAACCCTTCTCCCTTGTTGGAGGGAGTGCAGACTGGTTCAACCACTATGGAAATCAATATGGAGATACCTCAAAGAGCTTGGACTGGAGGTTTCATTTGACCCAGCCATCCCTCTACTGGGTATCTTTCCAACAGAACTAAAAGAATCATATCACAGAGAAGTATGCGCACCCATGTTTATAGCAGCACAGTTTGTAATAGCTAAATCCTGGAAACAGCCCATTTGCCCATCCATTGGAAACTGGATAAAGAAGTTGTGGTTTTTCTATAAAATGGAATATTACTCAGCCATAAAGAACGAGAAAATAGATTCATTCATAGGAAAATGGATACATATTGAGGATATACTCCTAAGTGAAATAAATAAGGCACACATGTGTAAATACCAAATAGTTTCTCTGGTGTGAATAATCTGCAATAATACATAAGATCGTAATAAGATTACTGACATTTAGAAATGGGAAGAAAGGGGCTAAAGGTGTAGGGAAGGTGGGATGGGTAGGGGAAGGGTAATAAGGGAAAAGAAAAAAATGCGAGAGAATGAAAAGATGGAAATAAAAAGTGTTTGTAGATGGGGAGGGGAAGAGGGGGTGAAGGGAGGGCAGGGACAAGGCAAAAAAATGAGAACCAAGACCTGTCCTGTAGAGGTACAAGATCCCAACAATGAATGTAACTGTACTGTATCCCTGAAATGTACCAATAAACTCTATTAAAGCTGAAAAAAAAAAAAGAGATCTCAAGTATTTTCCTAAACTATCTCTGTGAGGAAAGGACTTTGGCTTCTAGGTGAGGCATACCCCAGACTCTGGATGCACATGTACAAGGGATAATCAAAATATATACTAAATCTTCAAATTTCTAAAAATTATAACAACCTAATAAAAATTAACCTAAACTATGAAAAAACCTAATAAAGACACATTGCCATTAATCATGTTCGAAATTCTCCCCCTCGCTTCACACAGACGTATCCCATCCCTCTTGCCACTTTCTGAAGCAGTTCTGTATGTCCCGTTTCGTCTTTGTGACGTGTCATCCAGATATGGTGGATACTGCTGCTGGGGCCATCTAACTGGAACACGCTCACGAAAGCATCACGGTATGTTCTCATCCACCTTATTCACCAGCGCTGGCGCCATGTGACTTCCCCAAAGTCAAAATGACTGTGAAAGTGAAATGCTGTGATTCAGTTCAGAACCTCAAGGCAGACACAACTGTGCTACTAAAGGCACTCAAACAAACAGAAGAACTAGCACTGCTTCAAAAAGTGATTAAAAAAAAAAAACAATGGTACAAGTGTGTTCAAAGTAAGAGGGAGTATTTGGAGGGAGGTTAATAACAATATGCCTTTTACAGCAATGCATTTTCAATTTAAAATTAACAATAGTTTAGATGATACCACATATGTCTCACTGTACTCCACCATCTTTGAAATTTCTTTTTTTTTCTCTGAGTTTATTGGTACATTTTAGGTATACAGTAAAATTACATTCAACACTGGGATCTTGAACCTTTACATGACAGGTCTAGGTTCTCATTTTTCCTCCTTACCCCTGCCCTCTCTTCACCCCGTCCTCCCTTCCTTATTTACAAAGACTTTATTTCCATTTTTTTCATTTTCTCAGATTTTTTTCTTTTCCCTTATTACCTTTCCCCTACCCTTCCCACTTTCCCTACACCTTTAGCCCTTTTCTTCCTATTTCACATTGTCAATTATACCGTTAGGATCTTATTTCTCTTGCCTAGGACTGCTGCCTGTAAGTAGGTATTTATGACAGATCTTGCAGAATGAAAATCTAAAAGTGCTAATTTTGTGCATATGTACTTCAGACGCTATTTGAAAGAAATAACAGATTGATTTATGCGGAGGAAATTAAGACATTTCAGACGTTCTGTTATCACGATGACCAAATCTACTGACACCAAAAGTATTTTTCACTAAATGGAGAGGTATCATCAGACACATTATGGCTGGGAAATAAGTTCAGCCATCTTTTCTTGCCAGAGATTTTGGCAGCAACAGTGGTGGTGGGGTGATCCTCAGAAGAGGGGTAAAGAAGTAGTGTCAGCCTCCCTCCCCCAGGGACTCCCAGGTGTGATGCACTACCATAGAAGGCATCTTCAGGCATCCTTTCCCCCTATATGGACAAAAATGTGATGACAGGAAAAAACATAAAGTAAAAAAACTCAACATTTACAAAATACTTTTGAAATGTGCGTGTCTAGTAATTTATTCTAATTGAGCACTGTCTTATTTTGTAGATGAAGAATTTGAGTTTCATCAAAGCTGACTGAGTTAGGCCATGGTAAGTACCACGAGTCTTCTCACTTAGTCACTGCAAACCATCCCTGAATTAGAGGCCACATTTCATATCTCCTTAGAATAAAATCCAAGGACTGAGGTAAGATTTAGGAATCTATTCCAAACAGAAGAAAGGAACTGGAAAAATTGTATGACTAAAAAATTTTCTAAAATATTATATGACTAAAAAGTGTTCTACATATATTATAATTAGTAACTTTCAACTGGGTAAGGCAGTATGCACCTCTAATCCTTACAGTGTGGGAGGCTGGGCCAGGAGGATCGCAAGTTCAAGCTCAGCCTAGGCAACTTAGCAAGACCTTGTCTCAAAATAAAAATTAAAAAGAGGTTAGAGGTATAGCTCAGTGCAAAGGCCCTGGGTTCAGTCCCGCAGATATAGAACTAGAGTTAGAACTAGAGAGATAGGGATAGATAGATGGTAGATAGACAGATAGATAGATAGATAGATAAATAGATACTTTCCTCATCACAAATAAGTATTTTATAGGCACAAATTAGTTTTTAAAAAACTTACTAATTTTCATGAGTCTATTATAATACCTCATTAAAGACAATACTTTACAAATATATAATACAGTCATCCCTCAGTACCTGTAATTCCAGGACCCCTTTGGATATCAAAATCCATGGATGTTTAAGTCTCATACATAAAATGGCACTGTTTTTTCATGTAGCCTATCTATGTGTTCCTGTGTACCTTATCTTTAGGTGACTTAAAAAACCTAATAAAATATATATGTTTTGTAAATAATTGTTAGATTTTATAATTTAGAGAATAATGACAAGAAAAAAATGTACATGTTCAATAAAGGCACAATTTATGTTCCCCAAATATTTGCCATCCCAGGCCAGTTAAATCTGCAAAAGCAGAACTTCTGGTTTTGGAGGCTGAGAATTCTTACTATTCACCAAACAGTTGAAAGTGTGTCCCTGGATTACCTCATTAAACATCCCGATAGTTTTTGAAGGAATTGCCATCACTGTCCCCACTTTTCCACATGAGGTAAATGAAACTCAGAGGGAGTACCAAACTGTCCAGAATGATTTTTACCATATGATTGAGGTGGGACTTGAAGCTAGGGTCCTACTTTCTAGTCCCACGGTTGGTTCTGTGCTTAGGCAATCCATAGGTCACACAATCCCACCATCTTGCAGGTTCCTCACCACCGGATCCCTCTACCTGTCAGAGGCTCCCCATCTCTGGCCTGAAGCCTCTCCAAAAGGCTCGGCTTTCAGTGTGGCTCTTCGCACAAATACTACTCTCTGTGGCAAGCAGATAATGCAAATTCTATCATGTTTCTCTGCCTTCCTCTGCACTCTTCAGTGGTTTCTCATTGTACTCAGAAAAAACCCTGAAGCCTCCCCGCTGGTCTAGAAGGCCCAGTAAGATCTGGCCCCTGCCTCTTTCCAACTCATTTCATGTTCTTGCTGTTCCTTATCCTTGCTCTCTTTCCCTAGGGTCTTTGCACTTGTCACTGCCCCTGCCCAGGATATTCATCCAATGAGTTGCACACGAGTTGGCCCCTCACTCACTCCTGTCTTCTCACGTCATTCCTCATATGTGAAGTGTCAAGCTGTGAAAAAGCATGACCCCCACCAGCTGTACCAGTAGTTATTTTTTTAAATTGCTCTCGTTTTCTTCATCAAATTTAATACTACTTGATATTATTTTACTTACACTGATTGGTTGATGTATTTATCATTTTATCACTAAAAGGTAAATCCCATGAGTTCAGTTCACTACACCATATCACCATGAGTATAATTCATTACACTGTATCACCAAGACCTAGAAAAGTGCCTGAAAGATGGTGGGCCCTAATAATTATGGACTGAATTAACAGAGTAAAGAGTTAAAATATCCCTAGGATAGAAACTATTATAATATAATTAAAGTCACTACCAGATCAAGGAGCATAAATATACAAAGGTCATTGATACATGCTGTGATTTTCTTTCCAGGAAATTTGTTTCATTAGCATTACATTAAAATTTAATTGTTGAAAATATTTAGCTCAGTAGTGCTGCTGCCTGCCTTGCAAGCACAAGGACATGAGTTCAATCCCCTGTACCAAAAAAAAATTTAAAGAATCCAACCAAAGAGCGTACCCTAAATAGTAGGTGGGGGCATTTAGGACTAGACAATCCACATTCCAATTAGTCTTTGGCCCCATCTCCTGGATTATATTGTTGCATAATGGTTGAAATGAATCAAAGAGTTATACAAATTTTACTACACTAGTAGCCTGCAGGGGTAAGGAGACTAACCATAAAAATATGGTACCTGAGTCTTCGGTCACTAATCATCTTTTGCTTTCCAAGTGATGTCCCTAACCTCAACTAAGGTCTCAAATCTGGAGGAGGAAGCAAATAGCTCCAATGTTTCCTCACCCTGAAAATATTTTGGTTGACTTTGTAAAAATTAGTCGCCTAGCAAAACTTACTGACAAGATACATGAACTACTGTTTATGCAGAAAATAGCATCACTTTCACTTGAGAGATAAGTGTTAGGATAGGATGCTGTCTATTTCTTTATGTTATATAATCTTAGATATCCAAGACACGTCCTATTTGTTATCTAAGAATAAACTTTAATGCCAATCTCTTGTGAGAAATATTCTAGCAAGTGTTATATGGAATTCCTGCCTCTCAGCATGCACTTAGTAGTTTTTTTTAATTAAGCATCTCCAACACCCAAAAATAGAAGGAAAAAAACTATTTATCATTAGAAAAACCAGTGTCATAAAAACTGCTGTTCAATTTCTAAAAGATGGAAAATAGTCTTAAATGTTTTGACAGAGAACAAAATTCACAAACAAATGGAGAATTTGTGAATAACAACAAAATTTGGAGAAATGTTACAACCCAAAAATGTTCACCAGCTGCTTAGAAATCAAAATTCTGGTGTTTCTTGTGGATCATTTAGTTCCACAACACAATGATTACAAAAATCAATAGCAAATGAGGACCATAAAAAGAGCTGACAGTTTTTGTAGGGCAAAGTGATCATAATGAAAAGATTCCCAAGTGTATTAAGTTCAAACAAAAGTTTTGTTCATGGACTGGTCCGAGAAAGAATTCTTCTCCCCATAGTGGTTCAGGGGTCTAGGTTCCCTCATGTGTGTCCCCACCATTTCTTAGAGCCTGTAGCCTCATTATGTGCATTCACAGGACCAAAGAAGAAAAACATCTGTAAGCTTCACACCAACTTCTCCAGCCTCAGCCTGGGCAGGATATACTTTTCTTCCTTTTATGTCCAATCCATTGCTTGACCATACCCGGTAGAAAAGGGAGTAATAAATGCGAGAAATGTAAACAGTCATATCCTAGTAACCACTCTTTACTAAGAAACTGAAAAACAGATTCTAGCAACCAAAATCCATCTCTGCCAAAGATGGCAAAAGATATGCATTATCCAATAAGATCTATTATACTGGTAGTAAAAATTATATTTCTATGATGTGGAAGAGACTACTAATTATCCCCCAAATTAATTTTTCCTCCATTGCCATTGTAGTAGAGCCCTAAACTTTAACTAAGCACATGGCTTCCAGATGCTTTTCCCAACCTGACTTATAATTAGTTGTGACCTGTCACTAAGTTCTGGCCAAAGGGGTGAAAGCGGAAGTGGAGCACACTATTTCTGAGTCACACCCTTAAAGAAAGAGGAATACTCTCTCGTTTCACTTTTTTTTTCCTTCTCACTGACTGAAATGTGGTAAACCATCTGGCACTATGCTGATGAGGGCAAAACCTTTGGTGTTATTGAGCAAAAAGATTCAAGGGGCTCGGATTCTGACAACATCCAGCCTATTTATGCCCAGACAGTTAAAAGAGAGAGAAACACACTTCTACTTGTTTAAGCCACTGTTTTTTATAAATCTCTATTACAAATGCCAAATCTATAACTGATACATATGGCAAACAATATGGAATTCTGTTCTTCCTCGATTCAACATTTAAAATGTCATAAAAAGGGAAAGAAAGAAAGGAACTCGGCCAAACTGAGAAAATATAAATGTATTGATTTCAGTCACACAACATAAGATGAACTAGATATTAATGGTCTTTTTTTCATTAAATGTGAGCTATTAAACATAACATAATAAAAAATAATCACCATCCCTGCTCAAGGGCCAAATTCATCCTTATGATATTCATGAAAAATGCTTTATGGTTTATATAGATGATTACTTCAAAATGTCCTGGAGAATTTATCTGCCTCCCCCTACAATGAACTGTGGTAGCATTTGCCAAAAGAAGATTCACCTATTCCAGCCAGCAGAGACTTCAGACATCATTCACAGTATGATCACCCACTCCTCACCCACAGACACACGAGTGCATGCCCAGCACAGGTTAACAGTGAGAGCTGATACTCAGCACAAACTACATCATATCTCAACCTCCCAACCAAAACAGAAGCATGCCTTCAATTTTGGCAAAGCAAACTCAAATCAAACATAGAGGACAAAATAAGAAAGTTAGAAAATTCCCTTGGCCTTTGATAAGGATGTTAATCAGATGAGTGTGTGTGTGTGTGTGTGTGTGTGTGTGTGTGTAGCTCCTTACATGGAGAAACTACTACACAACCACCATTGTGTCTCCATTTGCGTTGCTCTTGCTTCTCACACTTCTGGAAGCTGGGAAATTTAGGAGCAAGAAACTAGTAGATTCACTCTCTGGTTCCCAGATACATCTTGTTGATGCTTTCTCTGGAGAAAAGGAAACTGTGTTTCACGTGGCAGAAGGTGGAGGGCAAGAAGGACCAAATCCTTCCACCAGGCCCCTTCATAAGAGCAGATCACTTCAGGAGGGAGGAGCCCCAGGGCCACCTCCTAGTGTTACACATGAGCAGTGCCCAGACCTGTGAGGGACACATTCAAACCCTGACAGGAGAAACTACAATCTAATCATCACACTGGACCCATGACCTACTCAATGGTCAGGCTTCAGGTGATTTTGAAGGAGCCTCTCATATATGTATCTTAAGTTTTGCTGAAGCCTCCTTAGGTAACACATCACTGGAAATATACAGATTATGCAGTTAAAATTAATCATTATTGAAATAGCCACCTTCCTCATAAATAGCAGGTTACTCCTGACAACCCAAGTCTGGACCTGAGGTTCATCCCCACCCTGTCACTCCTCAGGGACGCCTGACTCTTTATCAGCACCTTCTGTCACATGCCTATACCCTCTGGTGGTGCTGAGAAGCTTTGTGTGATCATAAGTCCTAACTTCCTGTCTCTATAAGTCCTCAATCAATTAATTTTGCAAATTTCACTAACATCCTAAAAAGAGTAATATGTTCCTTGTCTTCATTAACAAAACACTTATATAATGGTTTCTATACAAGGATCATGCTTGGAGTTAGGCAAAAGTGGATTAAAATCCTAACAGAACAATCCTAATACAACAAGAACAATATATACAAATACATACACACTGAGTCTTCAAAAACAGTCCTAAATAGTGAATTCTCCTGTTGTCCCATTGTTCAGACAAGACTTGAACTTGTGTGACTTCCTGTCAGGACCTTAAAGCTGTGCTCCCAATTTTATTGCCTATGAACCATGCAGTTCTGAACTCTCAGCTTGTTAGGTAAAATTAGGGTGATCACAGTGTCTACCCCATAATATTATTGAGTGAATTGTTTTTTGTTGTTTTTACAATAGCATTGAACACACAGCCTCACTGATGGTAGGCAAGCTCTCTACCACTGAGCTATACACTTAGCAATATTGCATCTGCCTGGCAAGAGTAAGTCCCTGAGTTCAATTCCCAGTACAGAGAGAGAGAGAGAGAGAGAGAGAGAGAAGGAGGGAATTTAATAAACTAATCCTTATAAATATTCTGAGAGCCACACTTGGCATACAGAAAGTAGTCAATAAATACCAGCTAAAAATATACTAGTTTATGTAAACCAATATATTTAGTTATTACTGAATATTAACTTATTGTTAAATATGCATTGAAGCCAATGGTTCCAAGTATAACAGTGATGCTGGGTCTTGTCAGGTACTTGGTGTTTGATTGAAAAGATACAAAGGTATTAGATGCTGCTAAGGGATTATTGTTGATTTTAGGCACAACAATGGTGTTATGATTATCTAGAAAATGTGCTTTTCCTGAAATGCACACTGAAGTGTTTTGAGTAAAACTACATGATATGCTTTCAACTTCTCCAGCATTCAAAGTGGAGAAAGGCAACACAGTAAATAAATGTAGCAAAATGTTTCTCATTAGAAAACTGGGCAATGTGTACATGAGTGTTACAGTAGTACACTGTATCCCTGGGTTTTACCCCAGTACAACAGACACAGCAAAAAGCCAGAATATTTCCAAAATAAAACATTAAAATAATAAAAAAGAGTGTTTTGCCAAGTTTTATAGAGCTGACCCTGTAAATTCCCCTTGGTAGAAGGTCATGTTTGTTTTAGGTGATGGGGCTGCAAAGTTGCTTCAGGGGGGAACAGGGAAAGGCAGAAGAGAGTTCCGGCTTCTCTGCCCTTCCTGCCAAGGTCACCCCACGCTTTCCTCTTTTCCAGAACAGAAGGCTATAAAAGATTCTGTTTAAGGAGAAGCAGAGTGCAGAATCGCATGACTCACGCACACAGAAGGAGGGAAGCATCAACCTGCTCTTAGCTTCTTCACCTCCAGATCTTAAACTCTCCACACTTCCAAATTGCATGACATCAAGTTACATCACACAGTACCTTTGATTGCACTGTTACTATCTCCTCCAAATCATTTGCCCTCATTTCTGGGAGAGTTTTAGCTCCTGGCACCCTGTCCCTATGACTGTCACTGCTCTCTCTCCGTTTCTCATAACTTCAGCCCATGCTCAGATAACGCTTTCCACCCAAGTGCTTCCATTTCTCAAGACCTTTCCTCCAATTATCTTATCACCCTACCTCAGGAACTCTCTACCAGAGTCAAAGCCGGCAAATTCCCCATGTCCTATTTCATGATTCCTCCTCTATGAGCACTGCCGGCTCTCACCTCCAACATGCACATCTCAAATCCCACGTATACCACCGGGCATTGTGCCTTTGCCACTGAGCTCCATGAGCTGGACGTCTTTGCTCTCCTTTCTTCTCACGTAAGTTTCCTGGTCAATTATTTTAATATATCTCCTAGAAGTGCTCTCAGATCTGCTGCCTTTCCCTCACTTTGGTATATTCACTTGATAAAAGTACCCCAGTTCAATCCAGCCTTGTGTCTGCTTGATTCCTGCACCTGTGGAGCACAGAAAGGCTGGGGAAACACCCACAACCCTGCTGACCTTGCACTACTGGATTCAAGAGCACACATCTCAAGTGGGGCCCCAGGTTGTACAGTACCAGTGCTCCCAGAGCATTCACTCTTCACACTGCCAAGCAACCAGTTCCGCTGTCATCCTGCGCCACCATCCTCAGATACCTCCTGGCTGACCTCACTCAGATGACAACCTTGATTTCTACTTCCCTGAAAAATCAGTCAATCTAAAAAGTCCCTCCAGAGACTCTGTATTGGATTAAAGAGTAGCTCCTCAAATTCTCATCTATCCAGAACTCATCAATTTGCCCATATTCGGAAAAGGGATCTTTGCAGATGTAGTCAAGTTCAAATAAGGTTATACTGAGCTAATGTGATCCTAAAAATCACATTTTTAGGTTGATGTCCCTCAAGAGCAAAAGAGATATAGAATCAGAGAGGACACAAAGAGGAAAATGCTGTACCACTGAATATCAAGGTTGAGGTGGTAATGATGCATCAATAAGCAAAAGAACACCCCTAATGCTGCTAACTTCCCTTGCTCTACTCTTTCTTTTCATCTATCACCTTCTAAAATACAATTTATAGCTGGGCGTGGTGGTGCATGCCTATAATCCCAGCACTCGGGAGGCTGAGGCAGGAGGATCACTGTGAGTTCAAGACCAGCCTGGGCTACATAGTGAGTTCCAGGTCAGTCTCAACTACATAGTGAGACCCTGTCTCAAAAAAACAAAAAAAAACAACAACAAAAAATAGAATTTCTTTATTGCTCTTCATTATTGATGGAAAAATCTCCTCACGCCAAGCCCCCTGAAGGGACAGTGTCTTAGCCCAATGTGTGCTGTTATAGCAATGTATTTGAAGTTGAGCACTTTATAAAGAAAAGAGTTTTATTTAGCTCACAGTTCTGGAAGCTGAGAAGTAAGGAGCTGAATCTGGTAAGGGCCTTCTGCTGTGTCATAATGTGGCAAAGGGCATCATATGGCAAGAACTTGTGCAAGAACAGAAAGTTTGAGTATAAATGAGCACATGTGGGAGACCAGTGGGAGGGGACAGGCTCAGTTTATAGCCCCCTACTCTTGTGGTAATTAAATAGTCCTGCGAAGACAACCCACTCCCACCCATGGCCATTAGTCCCTTGAGAGGGTGGTGACCTTGAGATCTAATCTCTTTCCACTAGACCCCATATCTTGAAGTTTCTACCCCTGTTAATACTGTTATACTGGGGGCCGATTTTCCAGTCCATGTACACTTGAAGGATGATCTACATCTAAACAATAGCACATTAGGTCTTGGTCTGCTTTGTCAATCATGTTACAAGCAGCTAGAGCAGAGCCGGTACCTGGTGAGCCAGTGCACCATGCCTTTCTCTAGGAAGGCCAGGAGGATGGGGTCTAGGAGGCAGCTCCATTACTGATCTGACTGACTCTCACTTTAAGAAATGGATGACATGCCTATCTCTCCACAGCACCTTCAAAAACATAATCTCAGGAAGTCTGGGCTTTAATGGATTCAGTATTACTATCCTTGATGAGTATTTCAGATGCAGTTAGACTCTGTTACCGATCAACTCATTGTGGAACAAATATCTTAGGTGACAACCTATCTGGGAATGGCACTGATAGCTTCTTTTTGGTCTTCATTTATTTCTATTAATTTAATTTTTAATTTGTATTGTTATTAGTCCAGTTTGCATTCCTAATGATTACATTAATCATAGGGAGTCAGTACATGTACATAACCCATCTTAACATGCAACAAGGATGCCATGGGCAACAAAGATGGACCAAGAGAGCACTATGACTGGTCAAAAGTATTTTTGAATCTATTAATATACAGAAAAATTGCCTGATGAAGGTCACAAATATTGGTGCATGGTTAAAATATTTCAATTAGAAAAATTAATTATATAAATATATACTGGCCATAGTCATTTAAAACAAGTTGCTAAAGAACCCAGGATAGCCAGCTTTATGTAATGTTCTTTTCTGTTGCTTATGCCTCTACTTGTAACTCATTTATTGCAACACATCTTAATGACTATAGATATAAGTCCTGACTGATACATCAAGGTATTAATTAGTTATTGTTCTATCAGTTGAAATAGACCAAAAACACTGAGGAGTGATAGCTGGAAGATATTGTGAAAGGACAAATTCTCACTTTCTGACTCATTAGAGAAGT